GGATGGATGGATGGATGGATGGATGGATGGATGGATGGATGGATGGATGGATGGATGGATGGATGGATGGATTGATGGGGTTTACCTTTGGAGCAGTTTCCAGCTCGTCCACCTGGTTTCTGCTCAGCCTGGTTTTGATGAAATTTTCCACCTCAGCATTGTACTTCATAAATGTCACGTAGCAAGTGTAGCACAATAACAGACTGATACTTTCCGAAACGGTGATTTGATTATCCAGGAAAAAATAGATGAGCAAGAGCAACCCGATGATATAAAAAGAGACGTCTCTAAACAGAGGCCACCAGGTGAGGTTCAGCACCTCTTTGGAAAACAGGGCGCACATCCCAATCACAAACAAGATGTTGAAGACTGCAGATCCCACAATGGTACCTATGCCCACATTGCTGTGAGACACGAACACCCCTATGACAGAAGTGAAGAGCTCTGGGGCTGAACCACCTGCCGCCATGAAGGTGGCCCCAGCTACGTCATCCGAGATCTCCAGCTTCTCTGTTATGACAGTGAGTGCAGGGACGAAAAACTCATCGCAAACGATGGCTAAGGCTATGAACATATATAACATTCCAAACATATGAAGAAGCACATAGCCCTGGCGCCTGTCCTCCACGCTGAAGTAGTCTGTTGGGTAGTCTCCTTGATTCATCTCCAAATCTGATGACTTCATTGCCACCGGTGTGTCCTCTGTGGCTGCTGAGAGGTTCTGGTGCTGTAGGAGAGTTCTTTGGGGCACTGCTGCATCTTCTGAGGTCTCTGCAACTGATTTGAGGTCAGTGGCCACTACAGTGGCCAACGACAAGGCACTCAGTGAACAAACTGTGCAGACAGCCACCAGGCTGATGATGAAGCCGAGAATCCGTCCAGGCCGGAGCTTTCTCTTTACGACCTGGTGCTGGATTCGGGTGTTGATGCCGTCGGGATCCAGGAAAGGATCAGAGCAGGAGAAAGCTATCATTTCTTGACTTCTTATGGGTAGCATGAAATCCATGGTGTTTAGGTGCAGGCTGGCAGACAGAGCTGGAGTGTCTGGAATTCCTGCCCCAGAAGTTGAGCTGGTGGTGCTGGCAGCTTCAAGTCAGGGGTTCAGTGGGCAGCAGCGGTTCACCGGTTGGTTTGCATGCTGCTCCCTGGTCTAAACACCCTGAAGGTCCCGTAGTCTTATACCAGGATCAAGCACATTCAAAGGCTTCCTCATATTACTCACTGCAAGACAGAGAAAAGAGCATAGGATTGATGCCTGCATTAGAGCACATTATGTCAGAAAACTTTCCTAAAATTTCAAACATATCAATAAATATTAATAAAGTCTTTTCTTTGAATTGTATGTTGCAGTTCTTACCAACTCTAATCACTGGGTGGTTTGCTTTTCTTTTCACTTACCTAGTTGGCAACAATTTGAGATAATTTCAGTTCAGTTTTCACGCTTTGCCCTGATTTGCAACGTTTGAAATCTGCTCCCCTCAAATTATGACTTGCTGCTAAAATGGACTTGTTACAGCATTTCGTAATTTTTATGAAAATCTAAACCTTGCAACAAACATTTTTGGGTTTTGCATCATAAAAATGTTGCTTAAATCAAAAAGCGATGGATGGATGGACGGACGGACGGACGGACAGACAGACAGACAGACAGAC